AAGCATAGAGAAAGGAGAAATAAAACTAAACTCATTTAAATGCTTTTTCAAAAATAATGCATATATACCATAATGATTTTCTGAGAGTGTGTGTATACCAGGTCACTGAGGGTTTTTGAAAGAAAACCCAAGGAGAGATGGTGCAAGTCAGCACGTGGATTTGGTGGGAAAACACCTATTTCATAGTATCACACGCTCTCAGGCTTGAATTCTTAGAAGGAGCTGAACTGATGTAATGAGCAGGGACTTCTTGGGGTACAACTTTACTGTTCTCACTTTCTGTAGAGCTGGCAGGGATGATACCTGTGATAGACCCCATTCTGACTATCGCTTTTCTAACCCTGCCCCTATTTCTGGAGTTTTCTCCGTATCCACATCCTATCTCAGAAGAAGGACTCGCCCCCATTTACAGTGGTGCAGGAGTTTCCTGCAGACTCGCAGTGTCAAGATTACAGCCACATTATGCGGAGCAGCATCACACGGGAGCACAGCACACAACTGACAGTCGCCACGCTGTCCCGACTCCACCTGCACTCTGAGTCCTATCCCACCCTGAGGAGATGGCTCCAGCACCCACCACCTGCTTCTCCTTCCTGGAAGAGCTCAAGGAGTGACTTAACGCACTGAGAGATGGAGCTGTTCTCAAAATGAAACCAACAGAGAACAATAGAGAGAACCAACAGGGGACAATATTGCTGCTGGAGCTGGAAAAGACATAATCCACCTAATGCCATGGAAGAACATCAGTGGGATTGCTTGCAGCATCTTCTGAAGGAATTTCTGGAGCAAATCGAAGATGTGCTTAGCTCTTTGCCCATTCTTCTAAAATCTTCTGGATTCCTTCCAGTCATTAGTTACCTTCCCTGCATCTATATCTTGCTCTAAAAACTGATGTCTCCCTTGCCACGGTCTGCAATAAGCAGCATCTCCTCCCACTCGGCAGCTTTGCAGGAAGCCAAGGTCCATTCTCCTCTGCCCTTGGTCAGTTCAGAAAAACAGGCCTATTCTCTCCTCTCCCTTTATAGTTGGGAGTGCAAAACACTCCCGTTATGGATACCTGCTATAACCTGAGCTATAACCTGCTATAACTAGTGCCGACCAGACTGCGTGGTCCCATGGGTGGCTGCTGGAGAACCATGGGAAATTCCCTGGCAACAGCGCCTGGGGATTAGGAGATGCTCTGATCACCACGTACCAGCCACTAGCCTTAGCAGTGCCTAAAGGAAGGGGCAAGGCTTTGGTCATCTTGTAACGGTGCCGACAGATCCAGTTTAAGCTTCACAGAGATCGCTGACCTCCTGGCAAATGCTCTCCTGATGAGGGGACTGGGGCGGGGCAGGGAAAGGAAATCTCCGCAGTGTCCTGCAATTCTAGATAGCACAAATTTGCTGTAGGGACAGGCGCTGCCAGAACAGTTAGAGGTGGCCAAGCTAATTAACAGCCACCTGCTCACACCCCAGGCTGCTATTCCTTGCTCCGGAGACTTAAAAGACTTATCTTTGACAGCCTTTTACAAACACGAAGTCCCCACTTTACTGACGTCCTTATCTCGATGCACGAGATAAGAGAAACCGGAGCAGAGAGAAAAACCACAGAAGGACTCCCCAGCAGAACCACATTTACAAACTCAAAGCTCCTCCAAAGAGACCATTAGCTCCTCTTCGCCCCTAACACTGAATTATTGCAAATATTCAGAGTTCTTGAGTTCGAGGTGACCAGTCATGTTGTGCCTTGTCACAAGTGGAGAAGTCACATTGCGCCTCTCCTTGGAAGGAGAGCCGAACCTTTCAGAGTCCCCTTCTCCCCCGTGTTTGTAAGAAGCCTGAGATAAATAAACAGTAATAATAAAAAAAGACAAAAAAGTTTTTAAGAAAAGCACCTAGTATTCCTGTTCTGAGTTTTCATATTTCAATCTCTCTCCTTGTAATATAACTCAACCATAAACCTCAGTGGTCCATAGAAAACTTCAGCAAAATCAGAGAACTCAGGACCTACAACTTCTACATGTGTATACACAGAGGCACCAAAAACCCACAGGCAAAAAAAATATGGTCAGAAGGAAAAAAATAAAATTAAATATTTCTTGGGCCTTCTTCAACATAACACCAAGAATCAACGATGAAACACGATCCAGTTTGTTTTCCCCCGGTGCCGGACCTTTAACAGAAAAGTCACTCCCTGTACAACACCTGCCCTGTCACCAGTTTTCATAAGCAGCACGTAGAGCGTCAGTGACCTCAGCAGTTGCATGCTGTGACATAAATAAAGTTAGAAGCCTGCCCAAAACACCTCCGAGCCCTTTGGCCAACGTTGGCCGTGAACACACATGGGGTAATGACCAAGCGAGGAGGAAAACAAGGTTTGGGGCTCCTGAGAAAGCTCCATCAGATGGCCTCCGCTCAGAAAAGCTGGCGTAGGTGCAATTTCTGATAAATAAATAAAAAGACGCAAAGGTTGCTCTTCTCAGCCTTGTGGGTTAGTTGTTGGCCTGCAACACAACCGGCTGCGAGGTGGGGAGCAAGCCCCAGCTCTGGAGCTCTCGCATTCGTCACCAGTTCCAGCTGAGAACAACAGCAACCTGCTCCAGTCTGTAATACCCTTTGTAGATGATTATGGGAAACAAAAAGGACTAAATTCAAAGCAGGTCTTCAACTCGGGGGGGGATCCAAAACTGCTGACTGAGGAGGAGAACAAAGCCAGATGGCATATGCTGGTATTGTTAGGGATTATGCAGTGTAAGGCAATAGGAAATGAGCAGAGAAAAAGACCCAGTTTGGTCCCATGGCTCCTCTTTTGCCAAAGGAACATACCGGGGTGACTGTGAAACAATCAGTTTATGGGTTTCATTCCCCTACACCCCCAGACTGAACTTAAATATTTGTATAAGCCTAGGCGTAACTTTTATCTAAAGTTTTCCTTGGGGTTTACTAGCTGTTTAGAGCATTCAAGCTAAAAAGCATTCCCTCAAACTCTTGCCACAAAAAGAGCTGAAACTATGATACTAATTAAAACCACACTCTTTGGTATCAAGAAGACACGCTATTATTTTCTTTTTTTTGCTCATGAGAAGCTGTTAATACGGGCAATGCGTCTGGAACATTTTCCTTCCAAACGCCATGCTCCGTACCCCCTCCTGCTCAGGTCGGCTACTTTATGAACTTGTCAGCAGTCTGGGGTGGGAAGGCTCATATTTACAGGAACAGATTTGTTGGTTTTTTTATAACAAACCATTTGCCATCTTAACGTTAGGAAAAGGACATCAAGAAAAAAACCAAAAGCATTACGCTGCATGAAAGGTGACGAGCTAAAGAACTGTCCTGCCTTGGTGCCCAGTGGGCCAAATCAAGGGATGAACCTCGCCAAAATACACTACGCGTTTTGAAAAACAGCCTCTGACTTTGCCAGGACGCTCCTGGACACCCAGCGCAGACCAGGAAGGGGTGTGGGTTGCACCGTGTGCCACTGCTGATCCACCCTGCGGTAAGGTCCGTTAAAGAAAAAGGTAAGATTTCATGCTCATTTTCCCCCATCTAATTTGGATGCTTCTAAGGTCTCCATTACTGTGGTATCAGCACCTCATAAACATTAACAAAATTATCCTTATAACATTTCAGGGAAAAACGCTATTATCACATTTAAAGGATGGAAAATTAAGGCACAAAAAAAAAAAAAATCAAAGGCCAGGTTTGTGTTCACTGCAATATTCAAAAGCATCCATGTGTATCCTGAGAGGTCTAAGCCCAGTTAAAAAACGAATGTCCTTGTCCAGGATCAAACAACGGTGTCTCATTCAGAGCAGTAACTGCACCGCAGAAGTGCAGGCAGCAGAGAGAACCAGCTGCTTTGGTCCGATCCTCCCGGAGCACCGATTTCCAAGTCCCCACCGACTTCGAGCAGCGTCCGGGATGCTGCCTGCTTCGCCAACGCAGTGGGTCAGGCAGGCTGCCACGGCTAGCGGCTGCCTCCAAAAAGATCTGGGCTTAGTCTCGACAGAAGCATCTGCACTGCTCACGAGGAAAACAAAAGTGGCAGGAGGGATCCTCCGGGGAAGGCACTTGTCCCACAAGTGTCACTCTCGGGACGACAAAAGTAAATAATATTTCATCAGAGCAATTTGGTTTCTGGTTTCTGTTTGGGAGCGTGGCTTTTGCTGTGTTGACTCAAAACAAAACTCAGCTTCCCTTTTTCACAGCCACGAGGATGCCAGATTTTAATTCCTGGTGGAGCAAAGTGCGGGCAGTGGAGGAGGGGGCCTTTGAGGGTTGAGATATTTTATTTTATATTTATTTTTTGGTGATATTTCAGCTTTGAGCAAGCTCCTGCCTGGTTAGCAAGCTTCTAGATTCGCCAGCAATACAGAAGAACTGCCTAAGTTACAAAAACAAGTTAATACACAAAAAATTTGACTTCAGCAAAGAAGTTAAGCTAGATGGGTGAACACGCTGTAATTTGTTACATGCTTCCATTGTGCGGGGATCCAAAGTAATAAAATATTCCTGTAACGCTAGAATCGTGAGGCCCAGCCCCAGTACGATGTTCGGATTCCAGTATTAGCTCTGCCACACCATCCCCTGGCTCGCCACTGAGAGGAGCCTTATGTTGCCTACCTCCCCAGCGCTAACCTCCCCGCGCGGTGCTCCGCTTGCCCTTTTATTTTGAATTTCACTCCAAAGAAAGATCAAGTAACGTAGTTATTGCGGAGGCGGCCGCGACACTGGGATGCCGAGATGACATCTCACGTCAGTATAACGCCGCTGTAAAGCGCAAAGCCATCCGCATCCGAAGCATCATCCGAAAACCCCGGGGCTGGCTGCAGAGCTTGGTTTTATGGACGCGGGGGAGGGCTCGGAAGGGCGCAGGCTGCCTTGCAGACCCCACATCCCCTCTGTCCTGCTTTTCATTTGAGGCTGACAGGCGAAGCTCGAACACATCATTACAGCCCTGAGGAGGCTGCTAAAGGTAACACTCATGTTACAAATGAATTAATAGGAAACACTTACCTTCCCCACTAGCTTGCCTTTCCTGTTCATGCAAAGGTAGAAGTCTGTCTCCTTCCCTTTGATCCGGACTTGACTGCCAAAAGTGTCTGTTTCCACTAGAAGCTGGGCTTGTAAAGGAAGAAGAAAAAAAAGCATTTACTAATTGTGGTCCCATTAAGTCAGAGCATGCAAAGCTCATCAGCGCGTTGTCCCGTTACCTCTGCCTGAACCACACCACACTGGGATGCTCTGCAAGGGAACAACCCGAGGAACCACCCAGGGGCTGAGCTCCAGGCTTGGTCACAGGTACAGGTCTGACACGTCTCCACTGAATCCTGTGCGGATGCTCCAGATTTAATGCCAGATTAGCACAGAACATGCATATACACGTGTGTGCTCCATCAGTCCACACCAACCCCACCACCCCATCAGCAGTACAAAGCGCCATGCTAATGCTCTCCTTCACGCTGCAGGAGGGTTCTTGGAGTGTAAGAACGTGGATTTTATTCTCAGGAAGATAAAAGATTAGCATGACAAGAATGAAAATCCTTTCCCCACAGCCAGCAGCCCTCAAACACTTCACAGAAGTGGTCCAGCCACACGCTCGTGGTGCAAAACATCGCAGTGATCTCCTGAAGATCACCGCAACAGCTAGCAGGGCAGAAATTCGGCACTGCTTGTTCTGTCTGCTGAACACCCACCCTGCAGATGTCCTCTGTGTGTCTAGCTATGTTCCCAGGAGGTCACTAATTGCTTTCTGGCAGTCCAGGTCCGTGACTCCTGCTCTAGCTGGGAGAAATATGGGCAATCGCATAGCGCCCCGCATGTTTATTGAGGCCAGAGCAGGTTTGCAGCATTGCCAGGAGCCACGGTAGAGGACAGATTTCTGCTGCATCTTCATAAACCACCTGCCCCGACACAACCGTATTTGCAGAAGTGGCCGAGCTGCCACCCAGACGTGTAGCATGCCATCAGCATCTCAAAAACCTAGACACGTCCAAATTCAGCGTTTTATTCCGTCTCTGATCTGAACACGAATTCCAGTCATGCTCAAGGTTTGGATTCCAGGAATTTCCCTGGAGAGGCAGGAACACACAGACTGGACATTTTGGTTCAGATCCATCTCCGATATGCAGGGGAAGAAAGGAGACATGGTCGAAACACAATGCAAGAATGTGTAAGTGTCAGCAAGTGCAAATCCACGGTCCTGCTCTGGAAATACTCAAGCTTGTAAGACCCGAGCCTTACCGTAGAAACACGGCTTTTGCCAAACTCTGGAGAATGTTTGATCTGTGCTGCAAAAAGTCACATTCTTTTTGGCATTCATATTTCAAACTTTAAAACCCTCTAAGAGCAAATATGTTCACTGTAAGGATTTACCATGGGGATAGAAATAGGAGTTTGTTTCATTTAAACACATTAATACTTTTCCCACTTGTAAAGTCAGCTTTTGGCTTCTGCAGCAGTGCAAATATCACAAACCTTTAACTCACAAGGGCCCTAAATGGAGTTTTCCCTTTGCAGCTCAGTCACATATGCAAGTTCAGGGTTTTCCAGTTACTAGCTGCTTACATTCATTTAGATATATTTGTTAAACCTTTATCACAGGGGATATTTGAAGAATAACTTCTTTCTGACAGCAAGTGAGATAATGCCTGTCTTATAGCAGAATATTACCTGCAATCATGCATAAATACGGATATTTATCTAAGTCTTTCAGAAATGCACCATGGTTTTGGCTATCTGTGATGGAGAGCAGCTTGTCAGCGACAGCCGGGTGCTGCAGGCTTTCTCTCCACACCTGCCAAGGTGGTATTGAACCAGTGACCACTTAAGTGAGGAAGGGCCACATGAACCAGAAATATCCCGTCGTAGTAAGGATATAAAGAGGAGCAAAGCCAGGATGGGGGAGGACGGCACAGGGTCAAAGGTAGGTCTTTGAGGGGAAGATGAGCAACATGGTATATAACTTGGTGAATGCCCACTGCTTCAAGAAGTTCAGGGAGGCTGCTCAGATGCAAAGTAGCGTTAATAGACAAGGGGATAGCCAAAGGTATGACTATCTTTAAAGAGGTGACTGTGAAAGGTCTTCCCCTCAAATGAGCAAGACCATTAGAGAGGACTAACGGTCAACTCAGACGGGGAGAGCAGCAGCCTGCACACGAGGGAAGGTTATGAAGCCAGCACAAGAGGTCCCAAAGATTGTCCCAAGGACCACGGCCAACACTCAGAGCGCCAAGGAGTCGCCCAGAGGTCTACAGTGTTGAACCCACCCAGGCACGCAAACAGACCGGGGCCACCCACCGAAGGGGTCAAGCAAGGGCTCCACAGCTTGCACACAGGCAAGAACAGGACACGGCAAGTTCCCATCTAAGCTGCAGGGCATTCCCCATCCGTTCCAGTCTCAGCACTGCAACTGAAGCTGCTAAGAATAACGCCGAATATCAGATAGGGGTTTTGGCCAGCCAAAGTAGGAGCTAACATTGATAAAGCACTCCAACACAAGAGCCTCAATCCGTGGTCCCGCCGGACAGTCAGCAGCCCGCACCTCTCCGAGGCAGGTCGCCCCTGGCTGCCCGCGCTCAGATGGACAAACACAGGGCACACCGGCTTGCGTTCCCCCCCGCCTCGCTCTGCAGCCAGTATGAGTAATATCCAAGCTGATTTTAATTTGAAAAATATCACCTTAAAAAGATGCCGGTTCCCTGCTGTGAAAATTAAAACCATCTGGATGGAGTGATTTCAAATAATTAATCTAGGTCTCCTTTGACACCGCTACTAATTAAAATATGATACCTTCCTCACCCTTTTTAAATAAAGAATTTAAATAAAGTTTAAAGATCTAATAAAATAATGTCATAATTTAGAACTAAATGGAAGTCACCTTTCCTGCAGGCTGCAAAGGTTACGCCAGCGCTGAGATCTCTCCTGGCCTAGTGCCACAGCACAGACTGAGCAGCAGCGGATGGGCAAGCACCCAGTGCGACACCCACACCAGTAAATACACCAGCATACACACCCCAGCGCCCCAAGGAGGCTTGCAAGCCCCAGAGATCATCCTGCACCCAATGTCTAGGAGTAGGGA